CCCAAAGCAATCTAGAGATTCAACACAATTCTCATCAAGACACCAAGGATGTATTTCACTGAACTAGAATAAATATTTCAAAAATTTATGTGGAACCACAAAAGGTCCCACATAGCAACAGCAATATTGAGAAAGAAGGGCAAAATTGGAAGAATCACGCTACCTGATATCAAACTATACAAGGCCATAGCAATCAAAACAGCACGGTACTGGCATGAAAACAGAGACAGGGATCAATAGAACAGAATAGAGAGCCCAGAAATAAACCCTATACCTTTATAGTCAATTAATATTTGACAAAGAAGACAAGAACATACAATGGGGTAAAAACAGTCTACTCAGTAAGTAGTGCTTGGAAAACTGGACAAATACATGCAAAAAAATGAAACTAGGTCACTATCTTACACCATACCCAAGACTCGAAACCATAAAAATCCTAGAAGTAAAATCTCATAGGCAGTTAAAATCTCAGACATTTCTCATAGCAATATTTTTTCTGATGTATCTCCTTAGGAAAGGAAACAAAAGAAAAAAATAAATGGGACTACATCAAACTAAAAAGTTCTGCACAGCAAAGAAAACCATAACAAAATGAAAGACAACCCACTGAATGGGAGAAATATTTGCAAATGATAACAAGTGATAAAGGGTTAATATCCAAAATTTATAAAGAACTTAAAGAACTCAGTATCAAAAAAACAAAAACAACCCCCCCCAAAAAAAATCCAATTAAAAAATGGGCAAAGGACTTGAATAGACACTTCTCCAAAGAGGACATACAGATGACAATAGACATATGAAAAGATGCTCAAAGTCTCTAATCATCAGAAATTAAAACCACAATGAGGTATCAGTTCATACTTGTTAGAATGGCTCTCATCAATAAAAGCAACAAACAGCAAGCGCTGGAGAGGATGTGGAGAAAAGGGAGCCCTAGTGCACTGCAGGTGGGAATGCGGACTGGTGAAGTGATGGTAGAAAGCAGTACGGAATTACCTCAAAAAATTAAAAATGGAACTAGCTTATATTACCTAGTGATTTTTCTTCTTGCAATATATCCAAAAAAACCCAAAACACTAGTTCGAAAGAATATATGCAACCCTATGTTCTTTGCAGCAGCCGAGATTTGGAAGCAGCTCTAATGCCCATTAGTAGATTTTTAAAAAGTTGTGAATATTTACATAATGAAATACTATTTGGCTGTAAAAAAGGAAATCTTACTTTTTGCAACAGCATGGATAGACCCAGATAGAAAGTATTATGCTAAGTGAAATCTAATGAACAAAATAAACTAATAACAAACAAGATAGAAATAGAGTCATAGACACAGAGAACAGACTCACAACTGTCAGAGGGGAAGGAACTGGGTGAAAAAGGTGAAGGGATTAAGTGTAAGAAAAAAATCATAGACAACAGTATGGTGATTACCAGAGGGAAAAGGAGTAGGGGGTAGGTAGGAGAAGGTAAAGAGGGAATAAATGGTGATGGAAGGAGACTTGACTTAGGGTGGTGAACATACAATAAATATACAGATAATACATTATAGAATTGTACACCTGAAACTTATATTGTGTTATTAACCAATGTCACCCCAATAAATTCAGTAAAAATAAAAAATAAAAATATTTTATTTGTTCTTCTAAAATATTATCACAACCAAACTAGAAATACAGTAAAACCAAAAGAAAAATCACTGAAACCACCTCTCTTCTACAATAGGCCAAAAATCTTCCCCCTTCGCTGACAAAGGCAAAAATATTTCAAAACTAAATAGCCCAGAACTAACTGATTATTTATGGAAAACCTAACGGCTCTGTAATTATCCCATTTTTTTCAAAGTTGCCAAATGATAAAAGCTATTAGAATATGAGGTGACCTGTGACATTGTGATATTAACTGGTCCCAACAATCTAGTTTTTAGCAGTTCTTCAAGAAATTTTTCTATGTTAACCCTCCAACTAAGTAAACCTCTCAGATTTAGAGTTCTAGACAATGGCAATTCTATTAATGCTGCAAGTGGAAAAACAAGGTGTAAAAAGACATGAAGAGGCTCCCTGGGGCCATGCATCATCTTCCTCGGTGGGAAAGCACCCCTCTCTGTGCCGGCTTCTTGAGTCCTAACCTCCCAGATACTCTCTTCTCCATAATATTCAGGCTGGTGGGGATAAGATTCATCCCTCAGCTTCTACTATCTCTTATCAAAGGGCATTTGAATAAATAACTATTTGGCTTGTTCTTTGTGCTTAGCATGGGGGGGAGACAGACAGACAGACAGACAGACACACCCTCTAGGAGAGAACAGGGAAGACGGATAAACCAGGGGAAGAAAGGCAGCTATATCCTAAAGTGTACTCAAGTCAGCTCTGAAATTCACTCAAGTGTGTGGCTCACTGCCTAAACCAACATGTACATCTGGTAATAATAAACACTGATAAGTCGTAAACAAAAAGGGCTTTCTTAATTCAAAGACCCTACAAACTATTGGTAACATTAAAATTTACATAAAACACAATCAACTTGTGTGAAATAAGATTTTTTAAAATAGTATTTTCAATTTCAGATAGTAAGAAATGAAAACCTGTTGGTATTTTACTGCCTACTCTTGAAAAGACTAAGCCAGTATCTTTGAATTAACCAAGTTACAAATCTGTTTTCAGTAGAGAGAAAAAACATATTGCCTGTTTAATGCAAAGGACAAAAAAGATCATCACTGCAAATCATAATGTTTGGGTTCATGATGAAAACAGGAAACAGACAGGCTGCCCAGGTATAATTATGGTTATACTCTAATGTGCCTTCAGGTTCAGCCAAGAATTAAAACCCAGTGGAGAGGGTAAGCAGAATCTTACGCACCTCTACCTTGCAAAAGAAGGCAACTTTTAATAATACTCCCAGCAACATGTTACATAACCAACAGTAAACAACAATCTGATTCAAACCTCATTAGTAACAACATTCTGCCACTGTCTCCCACTGAAATTAATAGCTGACTTTGCCAGGGGGAAAAGAAACGCAACACATATCAATCTACCCATTTCTGTGGCGCCTACCACGGCAACCCAGACAAGCAGATAATACCACCAAACCTACACGGGTTCTACAAAAATATTTTTTCTTTTCCAGTTCCCTGCTCTTCCTCTTTCTAACCAGATCATATCATATGGATGCATTTAAATTCTAAGAGGAAAGTCAGTTGAGAAGGTTCATCTAACTTTTACTGCCTATTTCAGCTATGCTCTGAAAGAAACAGAAGCATAAATGATAAATGGATTTTTATAGCAAAGATAAACCCTAACAGCAGCTGTGTGAAAAGGCAAGGCACACGGAGGGAGCAGCAATGGAGAGAGGTGGGAAGGAAAGGATGCTACAGACAACCATGAAACAATCATAAACAAAAATTAAATTAAAAATTGAAACAAAATATATACAAACTTTTTATGAGAAAGTTAACTTCTCTCTTATGAGTGTTTTGTATTCTTGTAATCTCCAAGTTCCCCTTAGATGAAAAAAAGTTAGCCAGGGAGTAAAAAAAAAAAGTATATAAAGTAATTTGTTCAGATCTAAAAACAACTCCTCACTTAATCTGGAACCCACTTATTTCACACCAACATTCGAACCAATAACTGAAACGATCACAGGTGTCTAGGTATTGTTTACTTCACAACAGACACTAGCACTGGTATCTAGCAGAAATTTTAAATTACTTGGATGTTACTGTAACTACTGGGAGTAAAGTTTTCAACCTTTCAGCTTTCAAAGTAACATTAAAAACTAATTCACTCTAGGCAATCTGGGTACTCTAAGGAAATTCACTCTTCTAGTATTAAAACAGTAACTCAAGGATCCTTTCCTCTCAGCCTTTCTGAGGCCAAGCCTCGGCCTCCACTCCGCAGTCTTTGTTGCTAGATAAGAACACGTTCGGTAGTGCTAGGCAACAGGCAAGAGTGACAAACTCAACCCGGCTGGAAAACTTTTTCCATAGAAAGATAAGGTAAACAAGATATACTTAGCACCACACCCATTTCAAGGCACAAGCAGCCAGGAATGCTTTTTTCCCTCCTCTCTAGATCTCCAGCTGGTCAGGAAACAAAGCCTCCGCAATCAAGATAGAGATCTGGCCCAGGGTGTTCGGGCATTCCTCACCTCCGGGCTGGCCTACAGCTCCACTCTCCAATGCCATCCAAACCAGAATTGGGACATTTTGTCAGGAAGTGGGCAAACATCCAAATACCCGACTATCCTCGTCCCACTTTTTTGCAACCAAAATCTGTTTTGGCTACCGAGCATGCTCCAACTAAAGAAGGCCGCCACATGGGAGTTTTCAAAGCTTAGGCTCCAAACTCCACGTAGTAAGAGCAGCAGCTGAAAGGGGAAGAGAGGAAAAGGGGAGGGCGAGGGGGAGAAACTGGAATATGAATCTTGAGTACTGAGACCAAGGGAAGGACCCGGGCAGGGGCTGAATACGATGAGGACGAACACACTGCTTGGCATTCTCCCTGCAGCTATGCAGAAGTTTTTCATGAAGTGGAAGAAATCTCTGCAGCGGTGAAAACTGGCACGGCAAGTGGCAGAAACCAGGTCTCACACCCAGCTGAGTGCAGTAGCAGGTCGCGACTGCCCAGAGCGTAATTCCCACCGATAAGCCTGGATCCTTATCTTTAAAACACAAAGCGACGGCGGCACGGATTCCTGGAGCCGCTGGACAGCTTTGCAGTGCAGTTGACCAGGCTGCTCGCCCGAGCCCGGCAACGCACCGAGGGTGTACACAAGCGGTGCTCAGATGAGCACAAACAAACCGGTCCTCTGGACAGAAGCGGGCCCTGGGACGCCCCCCGCCCCGCCCCGTGGGCGTCCGAACGCCCCGTCCACAGCAGCGCTGGGACCCAGACCAGCCTCCGCCCCGCCCCCGGCCGCCCCCGCCCGCAAGCTAGGCCTCCGCGACCCGACGGGCGGCCCCATCCCCGCCCGCCCGGACCCCAGCAGGCCGGGACTCGGCCTACCTCCCGCCCCGCAGGCCCGGGTGGTTTCCGCTCTGTCCGCGGCAGAACGCCCCCGCGTCGACCCGAGTCCGGCCACTGGGGCTGGAGGGCGAGCCGCGTCCGGGCAGAGTCTGCAACCCCTGCTCCCGCTGGCCCGCCACGGGCCCCACACTCACTCTCCGGCCGGCTGGGCGCACTCCCCGGCGCCGTCGCTGCGCTTCCCCTCAGTGCAACTTTATTAGCAGCTCGGCGGCGGGACACGCGCACGGCGCCCGCTCGCCCAGAACCCGGATGAGGGAGGGAAGGAGCCGAGGACTTCCCCCCCGCCCCCCGCCCCGGGGCTGGCGCGTGCGCAGAAGCCACGGAGTGACCGCCGCGGGCGGGCGGGTGGGCAGGGCTGCCTAGTCCCGGCGGCCGAAGGGATCTCCACGCTGGGCTCGGCTCCGGCCAACCCTGGTTTCCGATCAGCCTGAGGCTTATTGCCACAGTGGCCAGGCTCAGCGATGGGGGTTCGGCTATCTCCCACCACCACAGTAGCCACGAGTGGTCCCCATTAACCAAATCAGCCAACTTTATAGTAAAATAATTGTCCTGGACACGGACAGTTGGAGATTTTCTCAGTGGCCTATAAAGTGTGAATAAAGACATCATCGTCGGGTGCAGCTTTGCTGCTTTTACTGACTTGTAATATAAATCTGAGTGAAGAGCATCCTCTTGTGAAAAAATAGCTCCAAAACATTTCTGAAAAACGTTTAAATAATGGTTTTTATTTTAAAAGTTCAGTACCGATTTTCCAATATTCTACTATAGGTTTCCTTTTTAAATAAAGTAAAAAAAATGGAGTCATTTTTAATCCTCTCACACCTTAACCCAATCCACCACGAGCTCCTATTAACACTACCTTCAAAATATATCCCCAATCTGACCATTTGTGCCACCTTCACTGTGGGGGCAGGGGCAGGGTCATCTCACCTGACACACACAGCGGACAGTTGCTACTTTGCTCCAAGCTCCTTCAGCCCTTCCCTTCCCCCCCTCCCCCCCGCTGTGAAGAGACAAACGAAATGTTGCAGAAGTCCGCATTAGGGTGGCCCTGTGGAATGGGGACAGGGGAAGTCCTGGGAAGGAGGGGCGTCGGCCAGGGTGGACACCGGAGCCGGTGCTTGCTCTGATCAAAGGGGCAGCTGCTTTTCACTCCCCTTAACTGTCACCACGGGGAAATGCAGGAATAAGGACCTGATGTTAGCAGGTCTTCTGATTTTTCAAAAACAGCTGGAAATCTGCATTTTAATGAAAAACTTTGTTTTATATGTTTAGCAACTCCTTTCATTCTTTCTCTCTGTTACACTCTCTCAGACATTCAGGAGGCCAACCCTGAACAAGCCAAGCAAAACAAATCCATGGTCCCAACTTAGCCTGCTGGCCATCAGTTTGCAATCTCAGGCCTGCATCTTAAACTTTACTACATCATAAACTTCGTGAAAGTAAAGTCTGTGTACTTTAACTCTTTGTCACACTCTCTGATTATTTGTTGTTAATTCAGAATTTTCCAGTCCTTAGAAGGCACATATTTCTGGAGCCTGCATGGGTTTACAACTCCCAGAAGTGCCTATAACCCTGCCTTGAAGGATGCTTTTTTTCCCCCAGAAGTGATGTTTGCAGAGTGCTTTGTTGAGTATTACAAGACATAACAAGTTGGTTTAAATGTTTTGTACACTAGAGTCACTTCTTATTTCAAACAGATAGTAATGTCCTTCCCAAAACAAATTGCTTGCTGTCTTACAGTCCCTGCACAAATGAGAGGAACAATGTGTGATTATAGGATGCCTTTCAACAAACACATTTATAATGTCAAAGCCGACAGTTTTGCTTCCTGAACCGTGTGTCCACATACTGATCAAATCAACCAGAGACTCCAACCTCTCCAAGTTGCTATGTGGGCTCCCCTTAGGTCATACGTTGGAGAAGATGATGACCTAGAAGGAAGGAATGGGAACTTTAGCAGCACACCAGCTACAGCCCTCCCCAACCCCCACCCCCAGGACTGAGCAATTATGCGGACCTCCCAGGATATAGAACATTAGACAGATCACTAAATACCTACACAGTCAAAAATATATCACACAGCACATGAACAGGCCTGCCAGCACGAGAGAACTAGAATAAGGAAGTCCCCATTTTGGGCAATCAACTGAGACCTAAAAACAAATGAAGAACAAGATGATCTGAACAGATAGATAATCTGTAGGGTATCAAAAGACACATCTCTTTTCAGTTTAGCATTCATATGATAAAGATCAGATAAGATACATACTCAGTTTTACTCTGCCTGTAGAGAAACCAACCTGTGTCTGGATAACTGAGGCCTGCGCTCCTCAGCCCAGGCACCTGCGCACGTAGGTGATAATGTTGGAGGACAGTCTCCGCTGTGGCACCGAGGAGGGTGGTGCTACCGGCGCCTACTGAGTAGACCCCATGGGTGCTGCTAACTTTCTACGAGACACAGGACAACCTCCTTCTAGCAAGAATAATCCAGCTCCAAGTGTCAACAGTGCTGAGGTTGAGAAACCCCAATTTAAGCCCCAAATTGTTTTTCTTTAATTGGGTTAATGTTTAGGGGGGAAATGGGCCTTTTCTTTGAATTTTTCCAGTAATTGCTTAATTACTCATTTGGTGGACACAACCAGCCTAAATGTTTAGTCCATGACCTGCCCCCACCTTGAATTTTCCAGATCCAGAAAGGAGGTAATTGTCAGGAAATATGAGACATGAATAACTCGAAGAATTAACTCAGTTTTTCCATATTTTAGGTTTTTATTTTAAAATGTAGGGTAATTGAGGCAAATTGTTTTTGGTTTTAATATCCTTAATAAATATCTCAATTCTACTCTTCGCTGAAGCTCAGAAGACTTCCTAAATGACCAGTCCACACCCAGTAGAACTGGAAGCATGTGATCACATTGGGAGGGGTCACGCAGCACAGAAAAATCAGTGAATGCAAGCCATCAGGGAGACTCAGCCGGTAGCCACTTCCTCAGACAGTCACGGCAAGCGGACATCAGAGCAAGAAATAGATCTAAGTTTGTGCCACTCCTCCAGACAGTGCCCTGGAAACAATAAAGCTGTCTTTCCAAGTTCTGAAAATTCTATATATTCTTCAACTGCCAGACCAACCCACCCCCAGCCCTTAATATGGGAAACGGTGCAGGAGCCAGAGCTAAACTGGGAAACGCTGCGAGAAGAGAGAGCCCCCCAAGAAACACAGTGCAAAGACATAACCCACGACCCAATCTGAGAGAGGAAAACATCAGGTCACAATTTCAAAAGAACCTCGAGTTAGTTCTTAACAGGAGCAAGGTCTTGGGCCAGCCAGAGGATACACTAACATGATTTCATCCAGTATTTGAATGGATTTTTTCCAGTGAAATTTGAGTGTTCTGATGTGAAATGTTTCTTTAATAACCCACAGACCCTTATTTTCACAACTCGAAGTTGAGAATCTGACCGGGTTGAAAAAAGGAAAAGGAAAGTAAAAGAATGACAGCTGTCTCCACCAGAAGCGCGGGAATCTCATGGCCACAGAGCCCTTGAAGCTTCAGGGATGGACAGGAGAGACTCTATGAGCCCCTGGAATGAATATGCAACATTTTTGTGTATATACCTATGTACAAGTTTTCTGCAAGTTTATAGCTTTAGTCGGAGCCTCCAAGGGTTTCCTGACCTCCAAATGTTTGCAGATGCTTAAAGCAGTGGTTACTTTATGTGTGGTGCAAATTTAATGTGTCCATTTTGAGTTATCTTCTCTTTTTCGGAGCAACATAATTGGGAGAGTCCTCTCTTGGGAAGGCTGCTTGATGGAGAGGGTAGGGACCCAGCTTGCCTATCTCTAGCCATCTGCTACATGAAAGAGGGCCTCCCATGGCTGGAATCCAAAACACAAAATTAAAAGGGTTGCTTGCACCCAGGGTCGTAAAACAAAGAGGCTTTCTAAAGCAGGGCTTGGAGTGAACACTCATTTCTTCTTGACTTAAGCAGCATCTGTTCTTCCTGATGGCAAACACTCTCCAAGTTAACTCAGCTGACCTCCACAGTTCTGCATTCTCAGTTTTCATCCTCAGAGACGTAGTCTCAGAAGAGCCAAACCACATGTGCGCTCCGCCACAAATCCAGAGCAGCAGGTGAAAATCGGGGAGTGCTGTGGAACTGGGGAGGGATGAAGGAAGCAGAAACCTCACGTTCTCTAGGATGCCTTTCAGCTGCATAAATCTTAGTTAGGAGAACTCTGAAGCCAGACTTCCTGGTGTGAACACAGACTGTCTTGCTACCTGTGTGAACTTGCAGAAGCTTTTAACCAGTCTGTGCTTCAGTCTCCTCATCTGTGAAATGGAGATAGCAATAGTATCAATTGAATAGAATTATTTTAGGAGGATTAAATGAATATAGACTTGTTAGGTGCTCAGAATAGCACCTGGCATGCAATAAGTGCCATGCAAATGTTGGTTTTAAAAACATGTATTTTCATTGACATGCCAGCAGCTTCTAAAAAATTCTTTGCAAATTCACTTGTTACATAAAATGTGTATTCATTGTATCTGAGAGTAGACCCTCTTCCCTTCCTACTTTAATAAATGATCTTACTCATTCTCAGGCCTGTGGTTCGATCTATCACAGATAATCCCCAAATTTCTGTTTCCATTTTGGACTTGAACTTCAAGCCCTTAAACTACCCTCTTAATGTCTCTACTGGACTCCAGATTTGGGATTTTGTCTGGCTGCGATGCTCTCTAGTCCCCTTTCTCCTGCCCCCTGTATGGTACCATCACCCTCCTATATCAACCACGGCACCAGACATGCCACCGCGGAGGTGGGCACGTGGCCCAGCAGGGCTATCGTAGTTCTCCACCAGCCAGGCCACTGTGATTGGTTCGTAGATGGGCATATTGGCCAAGCAAGGTGACACATATCATTCCTTAGACTGACGTATGGATGTTGAAAGAAAGAAGTCTTTCTTCTTGTCATTGCTAAGGTGAGGGTGACTCCCAGGCTGCCAGGGACCATCTGCCACCACGTAGGGGGACTTTGCTTGGATGTGAAGCCAAAGATACACAGAGAAGCCCTCAATCCTGCTGTGCCCAGAGGGCTGCAGATCCGCCTTGCACTTCCCCATTAT